GATGCCAGGCATACTCGCATCCGAGGAGAGTGCAGATGGCCAGACGAAGAAACAGTTTCTTGGGATTGTATTGGATGTCAACGACATAGACCTGCATCTCATGATAGCCATACCTATGGCCCGGATTGCAAACATGCCATTATTCCTCACCGGCAGGGTGTTCCCCGAACTGGCAGACATCCCCGTCAGCCGATGGAAAGAGCTAGAGATGTACCAGGAAGAGAGGCTCAAGCACAGCTGCCTGATGATTCCGATCTGTTGCCAGCGGACCCATCAGCAGCTGCGGCTTCAGCACCTCCTCCTGCTTCAAGCTCAGATCGACCAGGGCGAGGACCTGACCTAGTCGAACGCGAAAGAAGAACTTATCGAGAGGCTGGGGTAGGTGATCCTCACCCCTCAGACTGGACTAGGTATGACATCACCCATTGTCTCAGAGCACTGCGTAGCAATCATGAACCTACTGTCCTCAAAGCCCTCAGAAAGATTCATTTAAGACTATGGCATGCAGGAGTATCAAACATGCAATCAATCCTCAGGAATGCAGGTGTCCCCCAAAGTGTTTTAGACTTGATTCCTAACATTATCGCAACATGCAAAGAATGCAGAATGTGGGCAGCACGTCCAAGAGAAACTAAAGCTGCTGTTGAAATCGCGATGTCTTTTGGAGAAGTTGTGGAAACGGACTTGATGTTCTACAAAGAATTCATCATCCATCATTTTGTTTGTAGAGCTTCAAGATGGCATGCTGCCGACAGAAGCACAACTCCTTGAGAACATATCGACAGCATGGATTTCAATCTTTGGACCGATGCAAACCCTTGTCACCGATCCTGAATCAGGTTTGAACAGTGCCACAGCAGAGGCGCATCTCAAGAGACTGGGAGTCATTCTCAAAGTGCGTGGAAAGGAGCAGCACGCAAGATATGTGGAGCGCAGAGGAGCTATTCTGCGCCAAGCCTTGCACGTCACGGACAGTCAAGCTGTTCGAGAGGGCATTGACTTGACTTTCAAGGACTTGCTAGGACAGTGCGTGTTCTGTGGCAACTCCTTAACCCACGTAGGTGGCACAACCCCGTATCATGTTGTTTTAGGAAGACAGCCTAGTATGCTGCCACCCATCACAGATGATCCAGGTATGAACGACCGAATAGAAGCCAGGATACGGGAGATAGCACTACAAAGTATGATTAGTGCTACTAGTGCAGCTAGAGTGACTAGAGCATTGAAAGTTCCCACGACGCTAACAGCAGAAGACCGATTCAAAGTTGATGACCTTGTTGAACTATATAGGACCCCTACTAATAAAGATAGTTCAGGGTGGAGTGGACCTTATCAAGTGGTAGAATCCAGAGCTCATGACGGTGTCATCGTGCTAAGGATCAATGGCATCAATCGGCCATATCGCATTCAGGATGTTCGCCATGCCATGTTCGCTGTGACACTGTACGGAGTTGCGCATCCAGACAACTCGAAGAGAGCGCTTGATACGACTCATGCATTCTTGAACTTTTTGGCTGAAAGGCGCACAGAACTGTTCGGCATCATTGAAGATGCTTGGGGTATAAAAGTTGTAACCCAGGCTAGCAGGAAATGGCCGTCAGTCGCACATGCCTTGAATTACATCATCAGGACATCCTTCCAGATGTTCGATGTTTGTTCAGCCAGGGTCGGAAGGAACATTACCAAACTGCCAGGACAGTCCGGCCCTCAGATCAACATTGTCTTCAACTGGGATATGCAGAATCCAGACCACATGAGTCTATATCAGTCAGACCATGCTAAAGTACACATCTCCAAGGTGTTTGGAGAACAGCAGCCACATTTTGCAGTCATGCAATGTTTCCGTCTCGATCACACTCACGATTTTTCGTTGGAAGATGTCGTGGACACTCTTCCTATTCGGGAGCCAGCAGAAACAGATGAACACAGGGCTCCATTAGGTCATGGATCACCAGCATCCAGACTTAGCACTATCCAAGAAGAAAACACCAATAGTCAAGTCTCATCCGAAGCCGAAGTCTTGTTTCTTCAACATTTTGACGGAGCCCCGAAAGAATATTCTCAACTCTTGTTAGAACTGTGTGAAATTGCAATAAAGGAAGATCCAGAGACAAAATATTTAGATGAATTTTCCTTTGAATCCCCATTTCCACCGGTTGAACAAGAGACCAATCCGTTTGATTTCGAGGTGCATTTAGCATTAAGCGAAATGACTCACCCAGACTCACTAGAATATGACGCTGAAGGACCTCACCTCGAACTCCAAATAGATCCAGAATTGTCAATCTTCTTTTCAGAAAGGGAGCATGCAAACCAACCTTTACTCGTAAGGATGTACTTGGGTTCAGAAGCGAAGAAAGAAGTCATTAGTCGTGACACAGATATCATGACCCCCCAAGAACAGATCACCCACCGTAAGGAACTTGATGAAGCCATCATCTCAGAGTACAAAACTTGGGATAAGTATAGTTGCTTCAAGATGGTTGAAAGAAGGCATGCACCTTTAATCATTGATTCTCGAATGGTCCTGAAATGGAAGTACATCGAAGGAAAAAGAGGCATTAGGGCACGAATGGCTTTGCGAGGTTTCAAAGAGCCAGTGAAGGACGGTGAGCAGACCTTTGCAGGTACTGCTCAGCGGCTTTCACAAAGGATTCTTGCAAGCGCAGCAGCAACGGAGCCCGACTGGGTATTCGGTGCTGCTGACGTGCCAAAAGCTTTTCTTCAAGGGCTGACATTCGATGAATTGGAAGAATTGACAAATGAACCAAAGAAGAGCATCGCTTTCACCATTCCGAAAGGAACTGCAAAACATTTGCGATGCGTCCCAGGCTATGAGCAGTTTGATGAAAACAAGCATGTTCTTGCATGCTTGAAGCCAGGAACAGGTTGCAGGGACGCTCCCAGAGCTTTTTCACTTAGGTTGATGAAGTTGTTAAGACAGCTTGGTATGCAGTCAACCCTGTATGATAATCAGCTGATGTTGCTTTTCAAAGGGGAAACATTAGTTCTTGTTATCTCGATACATGTGGATGACATTAAGTTTACTGGAGTCCGTAAGGAAGTAGATAAACTCATGCAACTCCTAGAGGCCACTTTTGGAAAACTAACCGCACAGTATGATAAATTCACCAATTGTGGCACAACTCACGAGAGACAAGCAGATGGATCCATAGAGATGCATCAGGATGAATACATCAGTGCCTTCAAAACGATCCACCCCAAACACTACCAGGGGTACGACCGAGATGCACTTTGCAACGAGCACCAGCAGGCTTTGTTCATGTCACTCTTAGGAGCAGTTGCCTACACTAGCTTGACTCAGCCTTGGGTACTCGTTTATATTGTGTCTTTGCAGCGCAGAAATAAGCAGGCAACTATTTCTGACCTGAAGAGATTGAATGCACTGACTCGTGAACTCATGAGACGCCCACAGAGGCTTCGCTATGAATCCATGGAGGACTTGAGTATTCTTGAAATATATTCTGACTCCGCGTTTTCTCGAGAAGGCGAATCAGCTCATTCGCTCAAAGGAATGGTATGCTTGAGGCTAGGTAAGAATAAGCACGGCCGTTTGACATCTCACCTAATTGAGTCCCTTTCTCAGTCCCATAAACTTGTGGTGAGATCAACGTATGCAGCCGAGCTTTTAGCAGCAACCTCTGCTATGGATGTAGCCTTTGGCATTGCTCTCACTCTTCATGAGTTCAAACATGGTTGTTTGAACGCGTGGAGGGCGAGAGAGATTCGAGAGCAGGGTGGACTGAAGATTCTTGCGCGGCTGTATCTCGATGCAATGTCCGTTTATCATTCAGTCACACAAGAGAATCACAAATCACCAAGTGAGAAATCTTTGATGAGCCATGTAGCGTGGCTGAAGCAGATGCTTTCTCTTCGTTTGCTCACGAGCATCGGGTGGGTGGACACCCGTGACATGTGCGCAGACGGCCTTACCAAAGGCAAGATCGACAGAGCTGCGCTACTTGAATGCATGAGAGGCACTTTCGAACGAAAGCATGCCGTGAAGATCCATCCTCCTCAGCAGAGTTGAGGTCTGATCTTCAATTAGGAATTCGGTCCGAGATCTTGGGCGCCGGCTAGGGACACATGATTTTACCAACTAACAGGAAACACCCGACTCGAAAGGTATGTTCCAGATGGTCCCCAGTCAAGACTTTGCCAGCCAAGTCGAAGTTGCGGCAGGTCGAAGCGGCTTCCAGTCTTCGCTTCACTCGATACATGTACAGATTCAATACCATTGCCGGTGGCTCAAGAACTCCGACCTAGGTACGACACAAGGCACTTCATGTGACACAAGCATAGAGGAAAAGGACCGCGTTGCACTCAGCTTTGTTTTCCTTACTTTCACCCACTGTTTCAGGTTCCTTAGGGCACCTGATTTTTCAGTGAACACCTGCCCAAACAATCATTGACTGGAGATTCGATAGTTCTTTCGTTGGATAGTGCAACGTTGGGCTTGCGCTACACTACAACGACTACTGTATTGTTTCTTACAGCGAGGGTCCGAGGGGCTCTTCAAGGAAGCTTCTCTCATTGATGGCGGGAGAAGCTTCCCGTGAGGAAGCATTGCTTATGTCGCCACCCCGCTCTTGCCACGTTCCAATTGATTGCCAGGAGTTGTTGCTGGCGCTTTATCGCCCATACCATTTCGAGCTGAACTGAGCACCGAGGACCTTGCACACCTTGCACTGGATCTTGCGCTCACCTGTTAGCTGGAACAGATTAGGAATGAAGATTAGTGAAGTGACAGATGCTGCAATGCACGGAAGAGGTGCACACAGGTGCGTGTGATTTGGCAGTGTCTTTAGTCCCTTTAGGCTTAAGGATGACATGCTGCAGATGAGCAAGTGGTCATGGAACTGCCATGAAAAACGCCTTGTTGGATGGATAGAACTTGTTCCATAAGAATTTGCGCATGGTGTCCCTTTGGTGGGTTGATTTGTAGATTCAGTTCTGAACTGCATGAAGTCAAAGCATCAAGCACATACTTTCTTACCTTGGAGCCTGTGCTTTAATGGATCCGCCATCACGGAGAGTGAACCGGAGGAGCTTCAAATTTACCAATGATCAACCGAAAGCGGTTGAACAGGTGCCCAAGGCTGTGGAGTCCGCTCCGACTGGAAAGACCTTGGAAGGTACACCAGCATCAATTCCGGATGGATCCCCTGTGTCAGGTCAATCCGTGGTGACGCCTCTCCGAAACATGGCATCTACACCAGCGATGACTGCTGCTTCCCCCAAAGTAGCAGCATCGTTGGACTTGACAGGCAAGATATTTTGTTTCGCTACCGATTTGGATTCGATTCCACAAGAAGAAGTTCTCCGCAGAATAGAGACTGCTGGAGGAAAGGTAGGGCTCGCCATCTCACAACGGACCTCATACCTGGTGCTTGGTGGAAAAATGCCAGATGGCAGGCCAGCAGAGGATTCTACGAAGTATCAGAGGTTCTCTGACTTGAGGGCAAAAGGGAAGGTACAAGCCGAAGTGCTACGGGAAGCAGACTTTTTGAAGATGTTGCCCGCAGTAGAGAGCCCAAGTCTTCCAAGTAAGGTGAAGAAGGATGTCCGCCCAAGCTTTCAGTCTCAGCCCTCGTCTCAAGAGTCTTCTTCTCGTCCTTTCAACTGGGTTGACATTTTTGCGCCTTACAAGCTGGATCAGCTGATCGGTAACAATGCTGCCGCCCAGCGGCTGACGGATTGGCTTCGCGATTGGGAAGATGTAGTGCTCCACGGTCGCAAGAAGGCGTCGTCCCGACGAGAGAATGGTGGTGCTGAGAATGTGAATGTGCCCGGCCTCAGGACGTCAATGTGCATCGGAAGGACTTGTGGGAATGATCCATGTTGATCCGTGGGACAGAGTGTCACGCCGTCTCTTAGGCGCGCGCGGTTCTAGCCCAGAGCTCAGTGATCTGAAAGTCCTGTTCCCTGGAATGCTGGTTCAATTGAGGTGAGTGGCCCTCCAGGGATTGGAAAGACAACAACGTGTCGACTGGTGGCGGAAATGCATGGTGGATACAAGGTTTGCGGCTCAACCAGGGTCACTGCGAAGCACTGCGAAGCAGCGGATCAGCGTGTGGATTTGCAGGTCTTGGAGTACAATGCATCGGACGCCAGGGGCCAGAAAGTCATCCAGGCCGGACAGAGTCCGCGATTCACAGTGCAGATGCAGATGGATTGTGTTTGTCCCAGTACACCTGTAGCAGTCAGTAGACATTTTTTTCTATTTTTGAACAAGGCCTGTACTAACCATCGTCATCTACCGTTGCTGGTAATGGGATGGAATTGATGCCGAGGAGATGGCTGAAGGAATTGCGCAAAACTCAACGGTTTCTTTTTCAGGACTTGTCACATGTGATGCTTCTACCACTTTTCTGCAGTGTTTGAGTGATACTGAAACCGTGAGGACAAGGAACCAGCAAGAGGCCCCTGTGCTTTTCAACACAAGCCCATAACACCGTGTGCCCGACTCGACAGGAAGGCAGTGATCATTATGGATGAGGTGGACGGCATGGGCCTGGACCGCAGAGCTTGCAGAGCTTGTTGAAGTGGTGTTGGGAGAACATAGAGCTGCGGGATCATGAACACTTCACGCGCAGTTTAATGAGGTTCGGGTTATGTAGTTAGGCTGCGGCAGGGTAGCACACACTTCGTTTGCACAAAGGATGCATGTTTTTTTGCTGGCCATAGATTTCAGTCAGCATGAAATCGCACACTTGCTATACTCGCCTGTAGTCAGGTGCCGGAGACAAAGGTGGCAATGCTGCCCTCATCAAGATGATCAAGACGCCACACCCTCAGGAGGGTCAGGGTCAGGATTTTGTCCTATCCTGTTCGAGTTTGTTTGGAGAAAGCATGGAGCATTGGTTTTGGAATACTTGTCAGATTTCATTTACTGTATTGGATTTGCTTCTCGGGTCGTATTGCAAGCCTCAGATGTCATCCACAAACTCCTGTCATTGGGGGCAGCTTGGCCCAATGTGTGCAAGTTTGGACCAACAGATGTGCAGAGCCTAGGACTCGCAATCCAATCATTTGCATTTGCAATGACCAGCATGGCCAGAAGGCAAGCTTCACAGAGATGTGAGCACTCGTTGTGATAGCTTCATTTGGCTCCATTTTGCAAGCGAGCTTTTGTATTTCCCCAAGCCCTATCTCCCTCCCCCTCCCTCTCTCTCTCTCTCGCCAAGTGTACTAACAATATCAATCAATGCTAGACATAGAGAAAAAGTAAAAGGGAGCCAGCGAGGAAGAACAAGCGAGCGAGCGATGGCCCCCCCTGAAGGTGCGCAGCTTGGCGTCTCATTGCTACGACCTGAAGTTCACCAGGCCCTGGTTAAGAGCTACTAGTAGCATCCTTGTTCCTAGTAGCGATGCCCTTTGTTCCTAGTAGCGATGCCAGGAGTACTAGTAGCGTCCTTGTTCCTAGTTAAGGACATTAAGCATAAAAAGGACTTTGTCATGGGAATGCCGGATTATTCCTGCGGGCCCCTTTCATTAATGGACCCTTACTTTGTTAAAGGGCCCTACCTTTGTTTTTCTCCCGAAAGCACCTGCGAAGAGTTCTCCCTAAGGAACAGCTACCAGGTACCAGGTACCAACTTCATCCTCTTTATCATCATTTTCCTTGTCATCACCTTCGTCATCATCACCTTCATCATCATCACCTTCATCGTCATGTCGTCGTCTTCGTCATCATCATCATCATCATCATCATCATCATCATCGTGGTATCACCATCATGTGTTAAGACGGGTAAGATGATGTGTGGATATTTGTTTGTAGATATTTGTGTATACAAATGTACGCAGATAGACTTAGGTGCATCTCGGTGTAGATAATGTAGGCGGATAGATTCAGATGGACATATGTGTGTGTGTATAGACGCAGGCGATAGATGTACTTCTACAAAACTTCTACAGAACACCTACAAATTCGACATTCTTTACAAAGTGCCTTAAGGCGGCGCGGCAGCGTCCATTGAGACGTGACCCTCTGCAGGGATCGTGTGGTCGGATGTGCGAAGCTGTGGAGATTAAGATAACCTGTAAAGTTACTTCAACCACAGTGCCTGTAGAGATTTCTTCTTATCTTTAAATATGTGTTAAAGTTACATCTATCTTACTCCAGTGTCGGGCCACAGTGTCGTCAAGTTTTCGTTCTGACATGAGATCCGGCCTTCTGACATGGCGCTCTCTCGAGGCCCCCGAAGAATGCCGTGGCACAGCGATGTGCCGAGATCGCAAGGCCTGCGCGAAGGGTTTTGAGTTCGCCGAAAACTCCGTTTGAATAGCGCGAAGCTCACAAAACCTGTTCAGGGTGCATAGCATCTCAGCTGTGTGATCAGATAGTGAGGCTAAACTTTACTCCAACTTGCACCGAGGCAGCAGGGCCTCAAGGTGGACATTGCTTCCTTGGAGGTTCACATTCTGCTTTCCGCACAGCAAAGCTTTCGTAGGCTAATCAGTAGAACTTTCGTGAAAGGCCTTGGCAGAAGCCTGTGGTGGGGATGTACGCGTGGCAGCGACCTGAGATGGGGAATGTTGGCGGTTGCAGGGGGATTTATGATTTAAAGGTGTGGACTTTCCTCCGTGTTTTGGCTGTTGAGCCATTATGATTTCAGTTGAAGACAGGTGCTAAATCAACTGCAGATCATGTCAAGCGCCAAGAGCTTTGGAGGTCATTGTGGTTTTTGAGTCTTGAGTTTCATGGCTGAACATAACAAACAGCAACACTGAACATTTGCGGCAACAACTTTATCCGCCAGGCAAAGATCAAGAAGTGATGCTGGGCCCCTTCGAAGCGCCCTGCTGGCTGGTCTTCCAAAGTTTTCAAGGAGAATGTCCACTGAAAGTCTTTGCATGCAAGCGAGGTGCAGGAGGTTGCTGAATACAGCAGAGGCCAAACAAGGGCCGCGGGAAGGTAGCTGCTAGCCGCCAGCCTTTTCCCTCACTTTTCTATTTCATAGAGACTGGAAGGGTGAACATTCCTGGAGCAAACACTCCAACGTTTTGTCATTCCATTGGCAGGCTGCGAGGCTTAGCTTTGAGGATCGAGAAAAGCTGCCTTGGACTCAAGACCTAGGGGCTGATGCTTCCATAGAAGACCGGAAGTTTCAAGGTAGAGGTACTCAAAGCATGGTCAATCGAAATCAAGTGAAGACTTGGAGCCCACGATTTGTCGCTTCTGATGAACTTCTGATGAAGGTTCTTCGTGGACTATTCAATGGTTGGATTGCGGGGAGCTCAAGCAATTTGTGAGGATGTTACTCCAGTGCAAGATTGCTCGTGCATCTCCGTATGTCTCTGGTGCAAGGCTTGGGGATTTGTAGATCTGATTTGTCCAACGGGTCTGAAGGACGGTTTGATGTTGGAAAGCCAAGCTTGCAAAGATGGGCCTGGCTTGCTGAGTAGAGAATGCGCAGTTTTCGGTGAGTCTCCTGGGTACTGGGATAGCCTGAAAAGACTGGGATTGCTCAGTTCTATCCTCCAAGGACATGTGGTCAATAGCCGCGAAAGCAAAGGAAGTTACTTGTAAGAACCCCCCCTAGGCTGGTTCACGAGAACTACCTGCGGTCAATGGAAAAGAAGCCAGTCTGAGCCTTTGGAATCAGGGTAGCAGGGACTGTTCCACTTCTCGAGCTAGGAGTTTCTTCCTTTGCAAGTGAAACCTTCCTGACATTTAAGGCTACTTTAGAAGTGTTGAGTCGGTGTGCTTACTCAGCAGACCTCATGACAGTAGGCTGGAGGCTAAGACAGTGAATTGGAAAGCAAGAACTTCCTTTTTTCAAGCTTTCTGATCCAGCTGTGGCCAGGTGATATCTTCCAGCAGCGCATCAATGCTGAACAGGCACATCTCGCAGTCTCGCTAGGGCTGTGGCAGACAAGATTGATGTGACTTGGCTGGCTGAGGAGTGGAGCTTGCTGCCACATTCTGGGGCCTTCCTCCCAAGATGCTCTCAATTCAATCTTTAAATGCAGTAGGTGTTGAATCTTGGAAATGCGGTCAGTTCTTCGATCTTTGAACCAAATTCCCAGGTCGTCTCATGTGCCTATCCAGCATTTGTCTCAAATGGCATGCTGGCAGCGCACTTGGCAGTTCCAGTCCACAAATTGCATAAGATGCTGAAAGCGCGGCTTGTGCTTGTAGGGATATCCATCATTTCCAGCAGCGCTGGGCAAGATGTCGTCCCTTTCCAAATCCAGGACGCATACGTTTCCACAACATGCGATCAAATAGATTGTGTTGACATGGCGGAGCTTTGATTCGAGGAGACAAATGATGGACTTGCAGGCTGGTGTGGCAGGTAGTTGCTGTAACATGCAGCCACTGGAGTTTCTCAAGCCCATTTGCCGTAAGCTAAGACTTGGATACCTGCAAATGGTGGTTTGATTGAAACAGGGCTCCGAGTGTAGCTTGAACAAATTGAAAGCTCATGAGTAAGATTGAGAAAGGACATGAACAAAACCTGTGCTATATGAAGATAATGGAGCTAGTCTCAGATCTTGCTCTGTTGCCAGATGCACTTGCGGCTTTCTTCCACGGTGTATGGCCAGGCACGTCTGGCTGATTTGTAATCCAACCGTTTTTTCTTCTATGAGCATCAATTTCTACTGGTTTTGCTTCCGGCATGCGCATGATTTTGGCACCCAAGAAGGCCATGATTTCGTCATCGTATGCTGAACTCCTCTACAGGCGGCGCACGAACGTGTGCGCGGTTTTGGGGAGTCAGATTAGCAAGCTCGGATTGAGGCGTTTGGTTGAGCCTTTGAAGGAGAACGACATCAAGGAGGCGGTCTAGATCTTGGAGAGCTGCTTTTCTTTGGCCAAAATGATTTGCTTTATGAAAGCGTTTCGTTGTTCCCAAGGTTGGTCGGCTGGATGCCTACGGGCTTCGACGAGAGCATTTGGTGGAGCAACCACGACAGGTTTCCATTTCCAAACTCAACCAATGGTAGAAGCCGCAGCCATTATGATGGAGGCCAAAGCTCTTAGGTTGGAGGACATCGCTATTAGGTTCAAAACCATCACTCTTATGAGCAGCTCCATGGCGGTACTGTATTGCCAGGCACCTGACAGAGTTGCGGCAACACCTTGGATGCCAGGAGCGCTTCCTGTTCACGGAAGGTGCCAGTGTTGTGTGAGTGGAATGTGGATGTGCCGTCCTCCCAAGAACGATTGCAGAAACATGTAGAAATGAAACTAGAAGATGCTCTAAAGTCCTCTCTCATACCAATTTAGCAGTCTCCGTGCTTTCTGCAGACTGGATCAGTCTAGTGCCAGGACATGTTCAAGCAAGTGGATGCAAAGGCGGCTTCACCCGTGTTCTCACAATCGAAATCGATCAGAGTAGAGCGGATATATGTGTTTCTTTTGTTGTGTTGAGCTAGGGACAAGGACAGGTATGCAAGTGTGGACATTAAATCATAGCCTTGGCTTGCAGGTAAAGTCGGCTTTGACGCGTGAGCTTAACACAGGCAAGCATGCTGTTAAGGTGCGGTCATGCGCCGGGCCCATATGCCATGTTTCAGTGGATCGGTGGGCAGTGGGAAGGAACTCACCACTCAAGACAGACAGGCGGTTTCAGCATGCTTTTCTTGACGCTATGTTCAGACAAGTAGTATATTTACTAGAGGCACGTGTCAACCATATGTATATATATATATCAGTATGGCAGGCTTTTCAGCTGTACCATTCAAGCTAAATGGACACACTAACTTGCCGTCGCCACGGGCTTTCCAGCTGGGCCGAAACTGTCCTGGCTGAAACTGTCCAGGCTCCATGGCAGTCTTTTTTGACCTGTCAGACTTGTTGGTCAACCCATGTTTGAACAGGTACATGGGCATGGCTGCGCCAACTTGTGAACAGGACCTGCTGAAAAAGTGCTATATAGTGCTGAAGGTGTTTGGCATACTTGACCACTATGGCTCATGGCAATGGCCTTAGGAAAAGCGCCGCCAGCGCCGGGCGAGACAGGCCGCCACCATTTTTGCACCTTGGCATGCATCGCGATATCATTCAGAAGGCCATAGACGACAGGAAAACATATGCGGTAGGCGCGTTCATCGCAACTCCACAAGAATTGCGGAGTCCGCCAAGGCTATCGCTTTCAGCTTGACATTGGGCATCCGCTGCTAACCAAGCTTTCGTTGTCCAGCGAATTTGCACAGAGCTTTCGATTGTCGACTTAGACCGTCTCAGGTCTAGGAGTCACAGCTCTCGATGTGTCCACCTTAGAGGCCTCAATCGGCTTGACAAGTCGGGGAGCTTTGGGAGGTGGGTAGCCTTTTTGCTGGATTGAAATGCGTTGGACAAGCTGAATCCACAGAACATGGATTTGTTGCACCTTGTGAGGTGGGGAGTTCTTTACTGTAGCTAACAAAGTCGGCTAAAGCACCTTGCCAAGTCTTCATTTTTAGCCTGTGCTGGTTGCTGTGGGATAGGAACTCATGAGAAATATGAAGAATCATGCTAAGCATTTCTTGCCATGAAACCAGATGACCTCCTGTGGGCCACGAGTAGGTCTACTACCCAGGATGAGCTGTGGTTGGAACACATCAGACACATGACAAAGTTATTTTCCATGCCCGAGGGTGCTTTGTTCTGTCGTGCGGGAATGTTGTGCAGACCTATGGCACCCACACTCTGGTGTTGCTTCGGCATGGAGAGTGGATGCCCCAGTTCTGTGAGCAGACTAGTATATTGTCAGTGCGGGACTTGCCATCTGAGGTCTGAGTGGAACCTCGAAAACCGTTTTACAGGCAGCTGCTACAAAGCTATGTAACGTGTGCAATGTGGGCGCCGATGAAACTTGCAAAGCTTGTAAGACGGTAGGTGCTTGACATATTGCCCGACGGAAGTGGACAGGCTGGGTGGATGTGGACGTCTCGGAGAAGGGCGCTCAAGAAGCCATCAATGCTGGCAGGCTGATGCACGAGGCAAACATCAGCCTCAAGCTGAGATGACTCATGCGGACTCAGCTTCCCAGTCAATCACCCAACCCAACAAGAAAGAGCATGCTATGTTGAGTGGAACGAGATCTGGACACATGATGTGCCTGGTGTATTTGAAGGACCTTCAACATTGCAGATGCATTGGATATCATTCCGTCATTGGGATATATAATATACTGTATATATATATATATGAAGACAACACCATTTGCCAATGATTACGATTGCATAGGAGTGTTGCATTCATATGCGGGCATGCTCTAAACCCTCGCAAACGATAGGGGACTCACAAAAACGATACCCTTTAACACGGTTCAAAACATTGGGAAACGAGAAGGGCCTCACAAATCTGAGGATTCAACAGCCGTGCATTATAAACTTTAGCTAACCGTACCCTATATATATATATGGATACACACACACACAAGATTGGGGACAAACATTTGGACACTCATTAGGCCTTCTGAATATGATAAATCATCAAAACCCTCGTGTCCTTCGGCGCTGACAATCTATCGTTTGTTGATTCCATGCCCCCCAACCAGAGCTGTTCTTCCGTGCAACTAAAAGCTTTCGTTCTCCAGAAGTTATTGATAGAACCAGCAGCAGGAACAGCTTTTCAATAATGGCAGCATCATTTTGCCAACTGTCCAAGGTTTGGACATAGCCTTCACCTCTTATCAGAAGAGAGCCATCAAGACGCTGAACCTGGCGCTGGAGGACCAACCACCTTGTGGGGATGAGCATCATAGACATACAACTTTCTATGTGCATGTATATGTAAGCAAGTACATACCAAGAAGGAGGTAAAGACGCACAAGTGGTATATTTCGATACATACATATTGTGCAGTATGTACATACACATTTTATATGCAATTATACTCTTAAGATGTATGTTTGCATAAAACAAGGGTTGGGTCACATGCATGGCTTGTGTTCAGCTGTTCGATGTTCAGGTGATGACAGGTTGCCGATTCTCTCAGACTTCCAATGGCTTTCTTGTTTTGTTTGTCCGATTTTTCTTCCACTTCTGCTCTTTCTTTTTGTTTTATTTTTTGCAGTCGACGCTTGAGTTTGCCTGCCCTCTTTAGATATCTCAAGAGCTTCTTACTGCAAACAGAAGCATATATATATATATATCACTAGACTTTTTTGGATCTGCAAGATGCGAGAATGCTTGTGCCTCAGATTCAAAAGCAGGTGCTGCGCCACAAGGTGGGTGCATTATACTGTAACCCTTATTGTCCATTTTGGCGCGGGGAAACTGCCTGCACACTTCGTCCTCAACATTCCACCACACGACTGACAAGAGTGGTAGGCTTGAATATATACAGCTTGTGATGTAGGCAAACGTAGAACAGATTGATCGCATGACCGATACAATCTATTTTGCGAGCAATGTGTTGCACTTTCCACATTCTTGGCCACCCCATAGGCGATCCGACAAGTAGGATCATGGGTACAGCAGGTCTGACGAGACATCTCCTTCGTCTAGTTTTCGATGGAGGTATTTTCCTGTGTGGAGTAGGATACATCGGATATTCTCATATGCGCATACATTGTATGTGTATGCCTTTAAAGGGCAGATCATCATACGATCAGTTTGACAGCAATATAGCACATAATGTATATATTGTGATACACGCATCCAAGATACACATGTGAACTCCCATGAGTTTTCTGGGTACCTTTTGATGCATAGATGCACGGTGAAGTGCACTTATCCAAAGAAACAGTTTTCAACAAGCCCACATTTTGACAGAATGCCACATGAACCTTACAAGCAACCAAGCTATAGGCAAACCTTGCAGTGCCCTTTGGAGCGAATCTCCGCACCCGGGGGGGTCTCAAAAACTCGACTCCAAGGAGCTCGATGCCTTGTGGATCCCGGTCACCAAGAGCTGGAAGCTGAACGAGCGCATGTGCTCCGGCTTGGCTTGTCACAAAATGGTCTCTCTCCTGAGTTCTCCTAACGGTTATAACGAACGTGAGCTGGCCTCGAGCCATGAGCATCATTAGCTCTAGCTGGCTTAAGAAGTAGAAACACTGAGTCATCAAGCCATGAAGGAGAGAGCAGATGTTAAAAGAGGTATGGCGACTTGCAGGGCCTGAACAAGGCAGAGACCACGCAAAAGTTTGGAGATGAGCAGGCTGGCAAAGGGAATTGGGCTTTCAACATGTGTAAAACAGTGAGAAGGGAAGGCTGGGGCTGGACGTAGGTCCAAAATGAACTCTCCTTGGGAACGCTGTATTACATATCATATTAATATTATACGCATATTACAAGACATGTTCCTTAAATTAAATGGACAATCCTTTCATTGGCCTCCACCTCGCCCTGACAGAAGTACCCTGTACGTTTCGAAGCAGGGGATCTCCCAGTAGGTCCTCCATTCTGATGCTGGTACAAGAAAATGACAACTGACAGTAAACAGACAGGAAGAAAAGAAAGAGGAATAGAAAGAAGAAAAAAGAAGAAGAAGAAGAAGAAGAGGAAGAAGAAGAAGAAGAAGAACAAGTAGGAGAAGAAGAAGAAGAAGCAGAAGCAGAAGAAGAAGAAGAAGAAGAACAAGTAGGAGAAGAAGAAGAAGAAGAAACATAAGCAGAAGAAGAAGAAGAATAATAATAATAAGAAGAAGAATAAGAAGCAGAAGAAAAAGCAGGAGAAGAAGAAGAAGAGGAAGAGGAAGAGGAACAAATAATAAGAAGAATGAGGAGAACGAAGAAAGAAGAAGGAAGAAAGAAGAAGGAAGAAGGAAGAAGGAAAAAGGAATAAGGAAGGAGGAAGAAGGAAGAAGGAAGAAGGAAGAAGGAAAAATGAAGAATGAAGAGAAGGATAAGAAGGAGAACAAGAAGAACAACTAACAATAAGAAGAAATAATAAGAAAGACGAAGAAAGAAAAATACACAAGAAAGAAAAAGAAGAACGAAGACGAAAGAAGACAGAAGAAGACAGAATAATAAAGAAGAATAAGACACACAATAACAATAAGAAGCAGAAGAAGAAGCATAAGGAAGGAGAAGGAAGGAGAAGGAAGCAGAAGGAAGGAGAAGGAAGGAGAAGGAAGGAGAAGGAAGGAGAAGGAAGGAGAAGGAAG